TAATTAATGAAATACCAGCAGAAAATAATACCAACCTCAATGTCCTCAAAAACTGCACGAACATCATCCAGGGTCACCATTTCATCTTCTCTAGGTCTAACAGGCACATAATTTTTTTGGAACCATGGATCCTTTTTTATTCCTTCAATAGTAATCCGCTGCAAAATTACTACTCTAATCAGAACGGTCAAGGGAAAACCAGCATGTTGGTGCATTATCAATTCGTGTACATATAAGTACAAGTAGAAAACCCAGCAATCTTTGCAAAAACAGTAAAGGAGAGAAAACAAGAAAAGAGAAAGAACCCGATTCTTAACTGAAAAACTTCTTACTAAGAGGGCAGAATTGTTGAGTGAAAAACTTCTTAGTAAGGGGAGAATTGTTGAGCATTGCAAAAGTTCCGTACGTCTAAATTAACAAAAAGCATGTGCAGAGATATCGGTTGGCAATTGGTTAATTGCATTGATTCTGTTTTTCTCCATATGGATCAGGATACAAAATCCAAATGATGGGCCCCTACATAAACCGGATCTATTCAATCAAATCGCAGCAATCTATTCACGTGATTATATTGATTGTGTTTATTATATCAAACTTACTAACCGAATTTATACTTGTGTGTTATTTGTTTGGATCTATTCACATGATTATTTATTTCATATCAACCTTCCTAAATGTTATTGTAAACATAGTATACATTAAATTATAAAAATAAGGTCTTTTGATTATTTTCCATTCTTACATCCCTTTTGGCTTGTATATATATCATGTAATCCTTACTGAGAATACTCAATTTGAGCTTAACAGCATTACATTACATTTCATCAACTAAAATAAGGTTAGGATTGTCAGAAATTTTTAGTCAATTTCTTTGGTGCTCAGAGCAGACATATTTTGGGTGAGTTTCCAGTCTCACCTTCTGTACCATCGGATTCTTCATCGCCGGGCTTGCAGTCCGGTCAAGTATCGCCGCCAGCTTCCGCAGGTGTGAGCCACACGCGCCGCCGCACCATCAGTGGTCTGTCTCACATTCCGGCGCATGAAGGCACATGTCAGAAAATTTTCGGTGAATGTCCATCTGCTTAGAATTCCAGAGACTTCTGGTGTTTTCAGTTGGATTTCGGTGATTCTTGGTATGCAGGTTAGAATTTTTTTAATTTCAGCCCTTCGTTTGTGATCTTTTGGCAAAAAATTTTGTCTCTGATTGGTTCACTTGTGGTGGCACAATTCTCTTTCAATGGTTGCGAATAAAATTATGCATGACATCATCCCTGTTATGAATAAAATCACCGATGTAAAATTGAATGGTTCTAATTTCCTTGGTTGGAGTGAAATTATTATC